GAGACAAACCGGTTTCGGCGTTGTGCCATCTTCAGTGTCATTTTTCGTTCTGAATAGTTTCTGTTTGTCTGTCACTAGTTATAGCCGTGTTAAATCGTCGTTGGTTCATAGTTAGGTACGTCTCAGCGGATTATATTCTTTCGTTCAACCAGTAGTTTCAGTTCTGTGTGTACATCCTCAGGTAGACATTTTTTTTACTTTTTGACCTTAAATAAAACTTAGATACGTTTTTTGTTTCCACCAAAAAAATTATAAGAAAATAAAGCAGAGGTTTTCCCAGTGCTACGCCACTGTAGTATTTCGCGTTTATTGTACATAAAAATTCATGCGTTCGCCTACGCGGTTTACAAAGAACTGTATTTTAACTTCTGTGTTTGTCTTTCAGTTACCAAACGAATATATGTATAGTATATGTACTATGGAAATATTCCGTTATATTATATAGCAATATACAGCGTGTTTAATAAATAGAAATGTTGTCGAACTGCTTGGCTGCTCTAACACCTCCCCTCCAAGTCATGAGACCACACTTGTTACATAGGTAAAACGCCAAGTGCTCCGATGCATTTATGATGCTTTTGGACGCTCAAACCTTTAGTCAAGACATCTGCCGGCATATCTTCACTTGGCATATAGTTCAGCGCAATCTTACCGCTTCGGTGACACTCTTTTACAAAATGATGGCGCACATCAATGTGTTTTGTGCGCGAACGATAACCCATGCACTGTATTAATTTGTGTGCGCTCTGGCTATCGTTGAAGAGTACAACTCTTTTGTTCGCCATACCCAAGTCTTTGAAAATTCCTTGTAGATAGCGCTTCTCTTGATGCTTCGGATAAGGCCATATATTCGGCCTCTGTGCTAGAGAGCGCGACAGTACGCTGATTACGCGCTTCCCAGCTGATTGCTGCACCGGCTAATATGAACGCATAACCGCTATAAGATCTTCTGTCTGTCCCCAGTCTGCGTCAACTACACCGTACATCTCTCTGCTGCTCTTCGTGAACAGTAATCCGAAGCCTTTGGTTCCGCTAAGGTATCGCAGTATGCGTTTCGCTGCTTTCCAGTGTTCCTCATCGTAATTTGAGTTAAATTTACTCATGAAGTTAACTGCGAATGCTATGTCAGGTCGTGTAGTTACCGAAAGGTACATCAGCGCCCCTATCAACTTTTGGTACGGATACTTCGCCATAACTTGCTCGTCAGCATTCTCGGGTTTTGCCAGTTTACAATCGCTTTCGATTGGAGTTCGTGCTGCCTTGCACTGACTCATATTGAAACGCTCCAAGATGGATTCTATATAGTTTTTCTGCGACAAAAATACACTGTGTGATTTTAAATATTGATGAAAATCGATACCAACGCAACGCTTAGCAGGTCCAATATCTTTCATCTCGAACGATTGTGTTAGCTGTTGCTTTGTGTCTTTTAGCCACTCGCTGTCATTGGATGCTAATAATACATCGTCTACGTAAACCGTAATTAGTAATAGCTTTCTGCCTTCTTGCCTGATGAATAAACAGGTATCTTGATTCGTCGCTTTTAACCCTATCGAATGCAAATTCTCAGTCAATTTGTTGTACCACATCAAACCGGATTGACGTAAGCCATATAACGCCTTCCTTAATAGGCACACTGGACTCGAAGTTTTCTGCAGCGCATTCAACCATTCTTCGGTCGTCTCTTTCACCCCTTTTTCGCTTAAGCTCTTCTGATCCATTCGCTCTCCGGATTTCAATTTCGTGAGTGTTTCCAAAAGCATTTCTGGGACTTCCATATAAACGCTCTCCTCCAATTCGCTGTTCAGATATGCGGTTACGACGTCCATTTGATGAATTTCCAAATCAAATTCTGCTGCCAACGCCGTCAACAAACGAATGGACATAGAACGGGCCACTGGCGGGTAGGTGTCCTTGAAGTCCTCCCCTTGTCGTTGTGCGTAGCCCTTCGCTACTAAGCGCGCTTTCTTCGTGCCGCTATCCTTGGTATGGAGCTCAAGACGATTGGCAACGACCTTTCTTTTACTAGGGCGTTCGACAATGTCCCACGTTTTGTTGCGAATCTGCGCTAAGTATTCCTTCTCTATAGCTACTTTCCAGTTTACAGCGTCACTCCTAATCATCGCTTCGCTCCAATTCAATGGGTCTTCCTCTGCGCAGAGGCAAACCATTTCGCATTCTTCGAAGATCACTTCTGCTGGACGACACTAGATTATACACCCTTTTAGGTCTACCTATCTGTCTCAAACGCAACAATTTCGGTCGACCTTTTCCACGCTTTTGACCTTTTACACGAGTTTCACTATCACTTTCAATATCTTTATTTTCTGAATTTTGATTGCTTTGTAATTCGCTTTCAACACCATTGTCTTCGTGAGGTTCATATATATCTTCATATTGATTGTCAAATCTGGGTTCATTTAAATTTCACGTCACGGCTTATTATTATTGTTTTCTTTTCTTTTGACCACAAGCGATACGCTTTCGATTCCGATGAGTAGCCTATCGCATGGCTCTGATCGCGAATCAAATTTACCTTTAGACTTTTCTTTATTTAAAATGTACGCTTTTCCACCGAACACTTTCATATGTACCACAGTCGGAGTTTTATTTGTCCCAATTTTGTATGGAACTTCACCGGTCGACTTTGTAGTGCACCTATTTCTTATATAGCAGGCAGTGTTGATTGCTTCCGCCCAAAACGACGGCGGCACTCCTGCTTGTTTCATTAAGCACCTGGCCATTTCGACGAGAGTATGATTTTTTCGCTCGGCCACCCCATTTTGCTGTGGGGTATGAGGCGTTGTGAGGCGGCGTTTGATGCCTTCTTCTTGCAAATATGAATCAAACTCACGGCTGCAATATTCGCGGCCATTGTCCGACTGTAAGGATTTAATTTAGCGACCAGTAAACGTTTCCGCCGCAGCTTTGAATTTTTTAAACACATCAAACACTTCAGATTTTCGTTTTATAAAATAGGCAGCACACCATCTGGACATGTCATCAATAAACGTAACGACATATTTTATACCACCGTTCGATTCACACCTCATCGGGCCACATACGTCAGTGTGCACAATTTCTAATAGTTCGCTTGTACGGTTGCCAATATGTTTAGGAAAAGCCGATCGCGTTTGCTTCTCGCTCACACATACTTCGCACTTCGACAGTTTTTCTTCAGTGTTAAATTTTAATCCGTAAACGTCACTGTTTCTGGCCATGTCTTTCAAGTCTCTTTCATTTAAATGCCCCATTCGGCAGTGCCTCAAATCTATGTCCTTTTTCGCATCAGATAAGAAAGCCTTATCGCTATTATTGTTGTCCATAAAATATAAATTTCCACTTCTTTTAGCCGTAAATGACACACTTCTATTCTTATCGATTACTAACGCATCGCTTTTACGGAAATGCACTTCGTATCCTTTATCGGTTATTTTCGATACCAAGAGTAAATTTGTTCGCAAGTCAGATACGTAAAGCACATCCCTAAGCGTGATTTCTTTTTCATCACCACTTCCGATGGTGTTTACTTTTACGTCACCAATAACGCCTATCATCGTTGAATTTTCGTTCGCTAGATTAAGCACTCGTTGCATTTTGGATAGCTTCACAAAGTTGTTTTTGGCGGCACTCATGTGCGACGTGCACCCACTATCTAAGCACCATGCCTTGCTACCCTCCGGATACGAAAACACTGCTTCTGTAACATTTAGCGACGCGCTTTGTTTTTCATGGAATTTCTCCTCGTTTTTATTTGAACTTTTCTTTTGATAGTTTTTCGTTTTGCACTCTCTCGCGAAGTGTCCACTTTTTCCACATCTATAGCAAGTAAATTTGCCATTTTGGTTCTTCGAAAAACGGCTATCAACGTTGTTGTTGTTCCTGGAATGACTTTGCTTCTTTTGAGTGTTTTTTGCATACAACGCTTCACCGTCACATCTTTCTTCGTTAGCTTTTCGCGACTCGGACTCTTCCAAGATTTTAACACGGAGTATTTCGGGCTTCGGCAGTCCGTCGCGAGTTTCTAACGCACACCGAAATGTTTCGAAGGAGGCCGGCAAGCTGTACAAAAACAATATGGCCAGCAATTCGTCGCCCATTTCAACGCCGATTTATTTTAATTTAGCGACTGCGTCAAAAAATTCATTTAAGTGGTTTCTCACCACATCACTTTCCTTCATCCACGCGAGCGCCACTTTCTTTAAAAGAGTAGCCTTACGAGCGGGCCCTTTCGACCGTTAGGTGGTTTCCAACTTTATCCACATCTTTCGAGAATTTTCGCACTCCGCAATTAATCCCAATTCACTTGCGCTCATAGCGAGCATTATGTCCGCACATGCTTTTTGATCGTTCACTCCCCAGACTGTAGCATCTGCAGGTTCAGTAGGGCACTCTTTAGTACCATCGACGTATGACCACAAGTTGTTTTTTATGAGAATCGCCCGCATTTGTAACCGCCCAGTGTCATAATTTTCCGCGTTTAGCGGCTCGATTCGTACGACACTAGTCATTTTGCAAATTTTGCTATTTGTCTTTACCGAACGCGAGTTGAGTACAACTTTCCGATTTATTAGAGTTTTTCGCTCTTAAATCACACTTCCGCGAGGTTATGGACTGGGCCCATAACCTATAAGAAAATAAAGCAGAGGTTTTCCCAGTGCTACGCCACTGTAGTATTTCGCGTTTATTGTACAGAAAAATTCATGCGTTCGCCTACGCGGTTTACAAAGAATTGTATTTTAACTTCTGTGTTTGTCTTTCAGTTACCAAACGAATATATGTATAGTATATGTACAATGGAAATATTCCGTTACATTATATAGCAATATACAGCGTGTTTAATAAATAGAAATGTTGTCGAACTGCTTGGCTGCTCTAACAAAAAATTTGTTGTTGTAATCTCTATAAATTCCTCTATAGAGCCCAGTAGTTTTTTTTTTAGAAATGTACGTATACTGCACTTGTTCTAAAAGTTTAAAGAAAAGGCAGCAGTAAAGCTTAG